TATCCCTTCTGGAGGAAATAGATCATGCTTCTCCACAGATTCCTTTTATTATCTGTGAACTGCCATCTTCTTGGATAGGAGAAGGAAATGGTTCCACTTTAATTCTCCACCGTTTTCAATTTAGAATAGTCATTCCTGTAAATAGGCTTTTACCCAAGACTAGAAAACCTGGTCTACACTGCTATTAAACCTATAGCTTTTTAGTGGTGGTGGCGGTGGTGGTGGTGGTGGTTTTTGGGAGATTAATTCATGACTTTTCCGAAGTCCTTAATGCAGAAGTGAACAAAGGCCCGTTCATTAAACTAGTGCTCTATAGCAGGTATCCAACTATCTATCTACCGGATATACTCGCGTACCATGCGACTTTTGATGACCTAACTTTGAAGCTAATTTTAAGAGGGTCGCATCATACACGAGATTTAAATTAGTGTATGTACTGCTGGCCCTGGCGAAGCCGTTGACCAAAATATCTATCTATCTATCTATCTATCTATCTATCTATCTATCTATCTATCTATCTATGTCCATTATCTATCTATCTCTATCTATCTATCTTGGCGGATTTATACTTCATCTATCTATCTATCTATCTATCTATGTATCTATCTATCTATCTCTGCCTCTTCATATCTATCTATCTATCTATCTATGTCCATTATCTATCTCTTTCTATCTCTCAATCTATCTATCTTGGCGGATTTATACTTCATCTATCTATCTATCTATCTATCTATCTATCTATCTATCTATCTATCTATCTATCTATCTCTGCCTCTTCCTATCTATCTATCTATCTACCGGATATACTCGCGTACCATGCGACTTTTGAAGACCTAACTTTGAAGCTAATTTTAAGAGAGTCGCATCATACACGAGATATAAAATTAGTGTATTTACTGCTGGCTCTGGCGACGCCATTGACCAAATTATCTATCTATCTATCTATCTATCTAGACAGACAAACAGACAGATAGACAGACAGACATTTCATCGCTCTAAGAGAAGATCGTAGTTAAAATTCGCCCGGGTCTCGTATACGAAAGGTTGTAAATCCAGGGTGTATCCTGCGTCTTGTACTGCACGTGCCTGGGGTGAGCACACATTACATTCTGCCGCGTCCTTTACCCCGAGAAATTGTCGCACGTTCTGCCTTTGCCACACATCATGTGCATCGCATTAGCCGGCATCCGTACATAATTGTTTGAGTCAGCTTATTTGCATACTCCTAATCGCACTTCACATTATCTCGCCTCGCGATGACCTTCAATACACTACCCACCCCCGGGCCCTCTTTGTCTTCCTGCCTCCCCAACGTCTTGACTGTCTGCTTCTCATTCACTCAGGTTTCCCTTCTGCCCTCCTTATTGTGAGTCAGCGGTTATCTCCCTTTTCGGACCTCTCTTCCGATACAAACCCTTCCGCCCGCCCGGCCCCTGCTATGTGTCATAGCGCTTTCCGGTGATGTCAAGACGATGACTGCGAATCAAGCGACCATTTTGTCATATTTACTGCTTGATTGATTGTCTATTTCTCACTTGTCATCTTCGCTTGACAGGAAAAGGCAGATTCCTGCCGGGCGCCATTTTCTTTTCGGAACGGAGATGTTGTCTATTTTAGGTTAATATTTCTGATTCAAGCACGAAAACTTGACAAAATACGCACCAAAAACGAAAAGGGCTCGAATTTCATGAATTGATTCAAATCTTATTCCTTTATTTTTATATCACAATTGCATAACAACACCTTAAATGGGTCACACTACCGTGTAGTCCGTCATAGGTATGATGATAAACTACATTAGACACCAAGGCCTCTGATCAGGTTTTGAGGAGCATGGAACCACCTCTTAATTGCTAGCGTTCGCAGATCCACCCTGACCCGGGGTAGTAGTACCTGTTACGGTCCTAGATATGGGCAAATGGTTAAATCCCCCCCCCCAAAAAAAGTGGTCTAAACACTATGAAAGTATAAAAATAGATTTTAATACCAGGAATACTTTTTGGGAAAAATTATTACCAACAATACAGTTTTGGAAAATTTTTTTTAATAGCAATAAGAATCTAGTCGCCATTAAATAACCCATTGAGTTTGATATGCCTTAAAACATTTTTGAAAAAATATTGCCAACAATACATTTTTTGCGCCTGATCTGCCGTAAACCAAACTACTGTGTAGCAATGTTTAGCAGATTAGACCAACTGCAAAACATTACGACGATACTCAAGCACTATTTACATTATTCGGATTATTTCGACTCACTGGGGTAGACTGTTCTAGTTACACGTGCCATGTTTAATGGATGTCAGTTATCATTTATCGCCTGTTAATTCCCCTATAGAAGTTCTACACGGCTTTAACCGGGTGTTGAACTCACACTCTTTGGGTCCTGTGACTGGATCTCAAGGACACAAGGCACAGTGGATAAAGGCGTTACTTAGATCCAGTGACAGGACCCAAAAAGTGTGTGAGTTCAATACCCGGTTAAGGCGATGAAGAACTT